TGCACTCCAGTCTGGACGACAGAGTGAGACTCCAACTCAAAAAAAAAAAAAAAAAATTAACTGGGCATAGTAGCGTGCACCTGTAGTCCCACCTCCTTGGGAGGCTGATGTGGAAGGATCACCTAAGCCTAGATGAAGGCTGGTGAGCCCTGATTGTGCCACTGCAGTCCAGCCTGGGCAACGAGTGAGAAAATTGATCAAATCAAATAAATTTTAAGTATTTAACTGTACAATTTAAAAATGAAAGTACTGCATGTACCTGGTTTTTAAAAAGAATCAGTTGAGAAAGACTTACAAGAAGTACTTCATCTGGCCAGGCGTGGTGGCTCACACCTATAATCCCAGCACTTTGGGAGGCCACGGTGAGAGGGTTGTCTGAGCCCATGGTTTGAGACCAGCCTGGGCCACTTGGCGAGACTTCATTTCTACAGTAAATAAAAAAATTAGGTGTGGTGGCGCATGCCTGTAGTCCCAGCTAGTTGGAAGTCTGAGGTGGAAGGATCACCTGAGCCCAGCAGGTCAAGGCCGCAGTGACTGTGAGCATGCCACTGCATTCCAACCTGGGTAACAGAGTGAGCCTAGGTCAAAAAAAAAAAAAAAAAAAAGAAGTACTTCATCTAATGCTGATGCACACTAAGGTGGGAGAACCACTGGTTTAGCTAAAAGGACGTAGAACTTGGCATCAACAAACCTGGTCTCAGATACCTGTTACATCTTTTTCTAATAGTGTGAGTTTGAGTGAATTGCATACCCTCCATAATGTTAGCTTCCTTATTTTCACAATGGAGATCATACATTATAGCAGTGACGCCCAATCGTGTTGATCTCAGGACTTCTTTATGCTCTTTTTTTCTGAGATAGGATCTCACTCTGTCACCCAGTCTGGAGTGCAGTATTGTAATCATAGGTCACTGCAATCTCAAACTCCTGGACTCAAGGGATCCTCCCGCCTCAGCCTCCTGAGTAGATGGGACTATAGGTGTGTGCCACCATACCCAATTAATTTAAAACTTTTTTTGTTTGTTTTTTTTGGGGTTTTTTTTGAGTTGGAGTTTCACTCCGTCGCCCAGACTGGAGTGCAGTGGCCGCTCCCGGCCACCGCAGCCTCTATCCACTGGGCTCTGGCGATCCTTCCGCCTCAGCCTTCCGAGTAGCCGGAATTACAGGCGTGCGCCACCACACCTGGCTCATTTTTTATTTATTGTAGAGATGAGGTCTCACCAAGTTGCCCAGGCGGGTCTTGAACCCATGGGCTCAGGCAGTCCACTCACCTCAGCCTCCCAAAGGCACAGGATTACAGGCTGAGCCACCGAGCCCAGTTAAAACTTTTTTTTTTTTTTTTTGGCAGAGACAGAGTCTTGCTATGCTGCCCAGATTGGTCTTGAACTCCTGGCCTCAAGTGATCCTCCTGCCTTGTCTTCCCAAAGTGCTATGATTATACACACAGGCCTGTTCCTGGGCCTCTTTTATACCCTTAAAAGCTATATCCTGCCGGGCTCGGTGGCTCAGCCTATAATCCCGTGCCTTTGGGAGGCTGAGGTGAGTGGATTGCCTGAGCCAACGGGTTCGAGACCCGCCTGGGCAGCGAGACCTCATCTCTACAATAAATCAAAAAAACCAGCCGGGCGTGGTACGCATGCCTGTAATTCCGGCTACTTGGAAGGCTGAGGCGGAAGGATCACCAGAGCCCAACAGGTCTAGGCTGCGGTGGCCAGGAGCAGCCACTGCACTCCAGTCTGGGCGACAGAGTGAGACTCCAACTCAAAAAAAAAAAAAAAAAAACAAGTTATGAAGCACTCTGGAGAGCTTTGGTTTTATAGGTTACATCTATCGACATTCACTTGCCACAAATAAAAACTGAGACATCTTAAAATATTTAATTCATTTAAAAATAACAACCTACTACAAGTTAATATAAATAACATTCTTTTGAAAAATAACTTCATTTTCCAAAACAAATGAACCTTTAGAGGAAGCATGGTCTTATTTTACATTTTTGCAGATCCCTTTGATGTCTGGCTTACTACAAGACAGCTGACTTCTCAGATCTGCATTCAGTTTGTTGCAATGTCACATATCATGTAGCCTTTGGAATACTCCACTGTATCCTCATGAGAGAATAGGAGTAAAATGGGCAAATTAATGTCTTTAAATTATGAAAGCAGTTTTATACCTTTCAGGGATCCTGGGACCACATTTTGAGAACTGGTGTACTAGAGGGATATTATAAGCGTTAGAATAAATATGTCCAGCACATAGTAGGTGCTCAATAAATGGCAGCTATTATAACTGTGGGTAGTTCAGGAAGAGAAATGTAGTCCTTAGGGTATACCAGGAAAAACAAAGCAGGGCCCGAACTAGGTGGGGTGAGGTGCTAGGCAAGTTATCAGAACAGGAAATCTGAAACAGGGACAGAGACTAAAACCCTGGTGTGTGAACCCTGGCCTGTGAGCCCTGTTATCTGAACAAGGATCTGGTAAGGCAAAGGAACCACAGCTCAGGGGAGGAGAGTCCTGGTCAGCCTCAGTCCCGGTGACCCACTTTGAGTAAACCAGAAAAATGGCTGGCTATGAAACCCCCAGTAGGGAAGGGCTGAGGCTGCTCAGATGCCTCCTGCCTAGGTCAGGACCACCTGGGAACTTAGAGGGGGCTGCTGAGCTGCAGAGTCCCGAGGAAGGTTGAGCTAGGATTCCCTTGGTGGGTACACCCCTTGGACAGAGTTCTGTCTTGGGTCCAGAGGGAGGAGGTTCAGGTGTCGCTTTTGGGCAGTCGGTGAGCTGCAGACCCTAGGTGATCCAGGGGAACATAGTGAAGAGCCTGGTGGGGTGGGAGACTGGAGGAGACGGAGGCCGCTTCATGGAAGCAGTGTGAGGAGGCAGGCCTTGGTGCAGAGGGGACCTAGAGAGGGCATCTTCAGCTGGATGTGTACTAGGGGCCACCATTGAGGTGTGCTCGGAGAGTGAGGGAGAAGGTTCTGGGGAGTTAGGATTAGACCAAGGGGGCTGGGAAAATGGGAACTGGAGGCAGATCAGGGCTGAAGTAGCCAATCTGAGAGCCCACTCCCATCAAGCCAGTTGTTAACTTATTGAGCACCTACTAGTGTCGGGACTGGGCTGCAAAAGTAAAGCCGACATTGTCTCTGGAGAGCGACAGGAAAACCAACTGCCCTGTACGCAGTGGGGAAAATCTAGGCAAAGTGCTGTGGGCCACTGAGGAGCCACCAGGGGAGATGGGATGTTTCCAATTATCTAAGGGGTTCAGTAATCCAGTCATTAACGTCAGCTAGTCCCACCCTGTGGAGCGAGGGTGGAGCTGTTCTCTGTGGGTCAGAGTTGAACTGAGGCCCTCCATGGTCTTCGATCGTGCTCCCTTTTCTGGGGAGTGGGAGGCTATTAGGTGAGAGGAGAGAAAGGGCCTAGCCCTTGCCCCTGGTTTGTTTCCATCCTTAACCCGAAACCTTTCCCTCCTCCCAGTTTGGCAACAATCCCTTCTCTTCCCTGGCCGGGAACTCCGACAGCTCGTCCTCCCAGCCTCTGCGGACTGAGAATCGAGAGCCCCTCCCTAACCCCTGGAGCCCCTCGCCCCCCACCTCCCAGGCCCCCGGGTCCGGTGGGGAGGGCACCGGAGGATCGGGGACCAGCCAGGTGCACCCGACAGTCTCGAACCCCTTTGGGATCAATGCGGCTAGCCTGGGGTCAGGTATGTCCTAGGGTGGAAGGAGCTTAGTGGGGTCACCAGGGCAGCCCCTCTGCCCCAGGCCTGAATGGGGCTCATACTGCTCCAGGATATTGAAGACAGAGGTGAGACTATTAAAGCCCTAGAAGAGGCTCTGCCATTGGGGGTAGTGTCCCCACTTCAGAGGGAGAGGGCTGGTTCTGGCCATGTCCTGATGTCCCCGGAAGTGATCTAAGTAATGGCTCATGAGAAAACCAGGCCCCACCTCCTAAGCTCCTTGATCACCTCTGGTACTAACCAGTGTAAATGGGTCAGATTGCCGGGTGGGGGAGGGGGTTGGAGAGGAATCGGGTCAGATGTGGGATAGGCAGATGTGAGGCTGGGGAAAGGAGTGTGCAGGGCCGTCGTGTAAAGAAATACAGAAATACAAGTTACGCATTGTACAGACTCAGGCAATGCCCCATTTATCTGGACTGTGACTGCACACGTGGCTCTGGGATGTCTTTGGCAGATGCCTAATCTCTGCATTCTGGGGGATGTCTTGATTGGGAAAGTCCCTTCCCCTCTGTGTGCTCCAGTTTCCTTATTTGTAAAATAACTGGAACTTGATCCATGGTTTTTCAATTGTGCTCCTGGGTCCTGGGTGGTCCTCATCTCCAAGATGAGGGGAAACCAAATGGGAGAGTCTCCTGGCCTCCTGCCCTGGCTCCAGTCAGACCATCAACATACTTGATCTCTGAGTGAGATCTGTCTTGAGGAAAGGGTCTCGGCTGCTAAGACAGGCTTGAGAACCATTGATCTAGGTGATACTCATCACTGCTTTCCAAATTGGACATGATCTGAGCTTGTGGCACAACAGTCCAGAGGGGCAGAAGTCAGATCCAGTTTCTAGTTGGCTTGTCCTTAGCAAAGTAGATGAGAAAGGGACCAGGCCAAAGCAGGGTGAGATGACCTTGGAGACAGGAGAGGCCTGGACCCATGCCACAGTCCTTAGGTGCCCATTTGCCCATACCTTTTCTGAGTTTTGTAACCACTCAGTGTCTGAAGTGAGGTAGATTGAAATTAGGCATCCAGGTTCCAACTAGACCCCTTCTCTCCTGTCTCGTTTTGTGTTTTCCTTCTTGTCATAGGGATGTTCAACAGCCCAGAAATGCAGGCCCTCCTCCAGCAGATCTCTGAGAACCCCCAGCTGATGCAGAATGTGATCTCCGCCCCCTACATGCGCAGTATGATGCAGACGCTTGCCCAGAACCCTGACTTCGCTGCTCAGGTATCAAGCTGGCACAAGGGGAGTAGTGTTGGGGATGGAGCTCCCCCTGACTGGGGACAGTTTCTTGGGTGGACAAAATGTGCTCTGGAGCCAACCTGCCTGGGTTTGTATTCCAAGCTCTGACACTTCTCAGCTCTGTGAGCTAAGCAAGTGACTTAACCTCCAGGTTTCCTCATCTGCAAAATGGGAATAACTAGTTCCCACCACACAGAATTGTGAGGATGAAAGGAATTAATACATGTCAAGTGCTTAGAACATGGCATGTCACACAGTAAGCACTATGTATAGTAAGTCCCCTGCATACAAACGAGTTCCTATCCAAGAGCATGTTCGTAAGTCCAACTTATTCATATGTCCAACAAAGTTATTCTAGGTACCCAACTAACACAATCAGCTATATAGTACTGTACTGTAATAGGTTTATAATACTTTTTACACAAATAATACATAAAAAACCAACAAGAAAACAAAACAGCCGCTTGTAGAGGATGCATACACGTGACAGTGTACACCAGACACGTGAATTATCTTATGTGATTGGACATCCAAACGCATGTTAGCATCTATGAAAGTCCGCAACTTGAAGTTTCGTTTGTAGGTTACTGTCCTTGGAACTGTTAGCCCTCATCATTGTCACCATCATCAGACCCAGGACTGAGCAGCCTGACCCTGATAACTCCTCATTGCCCAGAGCTTGATTCCATTTCCTCTCACTGTACCAAAGTATCAAAGTATCCTCAGGATACCTTGAGATCCTGGAAATGCTAGCCTGATTTCTTACAGTGGTGAGGTGCCCAGGGAGTCTGAGGCTGTGGGGGAATTCTTGAGAGTGGAAAGGCCCAGGCCTCCCCTATTCCTTTCCCTGCCAGATGATGGTGAATGTGCCGCTTTTCGCGGGGAACCCGCAGCTGCAGGAGCAGCTCCGCCTGCAGCTTCCAGTCTTCCTGCAGCAGGTGAGTGAGGAGCCTGGAGGCTGGGGAGGGGGGCAAAGGGTGCAAATTAAGGTCGGGGCAGAGTTTGACTCTGGACTGTGGTTGAGGCTGCCTCCTCTTTCCTCCTGCCTCCTGATACCTTTCTCTGCTCATTTCCCACCAGATGCAGAACCCGGAGTCGCTCTCCATCCTCACCAATCCCCGTGCCATGCAGGCATTGCTGCAGATCCAGCAGGGACTGCAGACCTTGCAGACTGAGGCGCCCGGGCTGGTACCCAGGTGAGGGGGCAGCAAGGTTCCGGCCACCCCTCCCCTCAACTCTTCTCTCTGCCACTCTGAGCAACCTTGGTGTCTCTGAGATTCTGTCTTCTTCCTGGAACTCATGTTCCCGTTTCTTTCTCGGATGCCATCTCCCCCCCCTTGATCTCTCCTGCCCACAGCCTTGGCTCCTTTGGGATGTCCCGTCCCCCAGCCCCCTCGGCAGGCAGCAATACCGGGTCTGCGCCTGAGGCCCCCACCTCCTCACCAGCCACGCCAGCCTCATCTTCTCCCACGGGGGCTTCCAGTGCCCAGCAGCAGCTCATGCAGCAGATGATCCAGCTTTTGGCTGGAAGTGGAAATTCACAGGTACATGAGGCAGCGGGGGCTGGGACAACCGCTTCCATCCTGGGAAGTGCTGAGGGTAACAATAGAGAAGTGGCAGCAGGGCAGGCTTTAAAGCCAGGTCCTGCTCTGCTAGCTCCAAGCCTTGGGCTGGTAACTAATCCTCCCTGAGTTCAGCATCCACAGATGGAAATGGAGAGGAGACTAGGAACAGCACTCATGTGGGCTTGGTACTCCTCAAATGTTTTCTTTTTCTTTTTTTTTTTTTTTTTTGAGTTGGAGTCTCACTCTGTTGCCCAGGCTGGAGTACAGCGGCATGCTCACGGCCACTGCAACCTCAATCTGCTGGGCTCCAGCGATCCTTCTGCCTCAGCCTTCCAAGCACCTGGAACTATAGGCACCTGCCATCACGCCCAGCTAAATTTTTTATTTATTGTAGAGATGAGGTCTCACCAACTTACCCAGGCTGGTCTCAAACCTGTGGGCTCAGGTAATCCTCTCGCCTCCTCCTCCTCAAGTCCTAGGATTATAGGCATGAGCCACCACGCCCAGCCTTCAGATGCTTTCTGCATGAGATTTCCTCTGCCTCGTTCCTCAATAGCCATATGAGAAAGTTATTATTATTTCTGTTACAGGTGGGGGAAAATGAGGCCCAGAGAGGTAAAGTGACTTGCTCATTTATATAGCTACTAGGTAATGGAGCCAAGATTCAAACTGGCATTCTGCCTCCAGAATCTACACTTGAACCACTGTGTTATTCCACTTTTTAGATTACAGGATTATTTTGATGATTAAAGCAGTTTCTGGCCAGGTGCGTTGGCTCAAGCCTATAATCCCAGCACTTTGGGAAGCCGAGGTGAGAGGATTGCCTAAGCTCAGGGGTTCGAGACCAGCCTGGGCAACTTGGTGAGGCCTCATCTCTACAGTACATCAAAAAATAAGCCAGACATGGTGGCGCATGCCTGTGGTTCCAGTTACTTGGAAGGCTGAGGCGGAAGGAGCGCCTGAGCCCAGCAAGTTGAGGCTGTGGTGGCCATGAGCATGCCTCTGCACTCTAGCCTGGGCGACAGAGTGAGTCTCCAACTCGAAAAAAAAAATGCAGCTTCCATTTCTAAAACTCTGTAGAGGCAGATTATGGGAGGTTAGGTGACTAGAGCCTGGGACCACAAAGACAAGACCAGGAGCTTGAGGAAGGAACAGAGATGACCTCAATGAGCCTCCTAATCCTTCTCTGACTTCTCTGTGACTCATCCGGATAAACCATTCAACAAAAATGTGTGTGTACCCAAGTCTGCGGAAGGCACAGAGAGCTTCAGTAGCTTCCAGTCTCGCTTAAATTCTGTGGACTGGGATGAGAAGCAACCTGGATCCCTGGAAAGGGCGTTTGTGCTACAAGTCAGAGGCCCTTGGTGACTGACTTGCTCTGTGACCCTAGCCAAGTCCGTCCTTTCTCTAGATTGAACCCTCCTAGCAACACCAGGCAGACTGTGACTCCTGGGCTCCTTCTAGCTCTAAGAACCTTTGAGTCATGACCTAGACTCGTGCTTCCCAAACATCCCTTGGGCACACATTTACAGGAGATCTGATTTTTTTTTTTTTTTTTTTTTGAGTCAGAGTCACACTGTCACCCAGGCTGGAGTGCTATGCACTCTCACAGCCACCACAGCCTTGCCTTGCTGGGGCTCAGGTGATCCTTCCACCTTAGCCTTCCAAGTAGCTGGAACCAGGAACCATAAACATGTACCACCATGCCCAACTAACTATTTTTTTTTTTTGAGTTGGAGTCACACTGTCGCCTAGGCTGGAGTGCAGTGGCATGCTCACAGCCACTGTAGACTCAACCTGCTGGGCTCAGGTGAGCTTTCTACCTCACCTTTCCAAGTAGCTGGAACTACAGGCATGTGCCACCATGCCTGGCTAATTCTTTGATTTATTGTAGAGATGAGGTCTCACCAAGTTACCCAGACTGGTCTCAAACCCGTGGGCTTAGGCAGTCCTCTCTCCTCAGTCTCCCAAAGTGCTGTGATTATAAATGTGAGCCACTGTGCCCAGCCTTACCCTTTTGATTTATTGTAGAAGCGAGATCTCGCCGAGTTGCTCAAACTGGTTTTGAACCCGTAGACTTAGGCACTCCTCTTGCCTCTACCTCCCAGTGTGCTGGGATAACAGGTGTGAGCCACCATACCTGGCCTTACAGGAGGTCTTTACTAGAGTGTCCAGAATGAAAAGCCTTCTCTCATAAATAACTGTGTTTGTTGATCAGTTAAACTCAGTTTCTTTCCTGGGACTCCTCTCTGTCCTTTATTACAGCTGCATGAGTGATGGCTGTCAGGAGGGGACTTGGAGGACAAGTTGAGCATGCACTTTATGTGACCACAGGGTGTTTTGCTCTTGGATCTCCTGTTCACATCTCCAGAGTGTTTGTGGAAAGCAGTTAGGAATATAAGCTGATCAAGGCCTGTCCATTACTTTAAAATCTTAGGAAAGCTATCCCGGCCGGGCTCAGTGGCTCAGCCTATATTCCCAGCACTTTGGGAGGCCGAGGCAAGTGGATTGCCTGAGCCCATGGATTTGAGACCAGCCTGGGCAACTGGTGAGACCTCATCTCTACAATAAATAAAAATTTAAGCCAGTCGCGATTGCTCACGCCTATAATCCCAGCATTTTGGGAGGCGGAGGTGCGAGGATTGCCTGAGCCCACAGGTGTGAGACCAGTCTGGGCAACTTGGCCAGATCTCATCTTGACAATAAAAAAAAAAATTAGCTGGGTGTGGTAGCATGCACCTATAGTTCAGCTTCTTGGAAGGCTGAGGCGGAAGGATCGCTAGAGTTCAGCAGGTCGACACTGAGGTGTCCTTGAGCGTGCCACTGCACTCCAGCCTGGGCGACGAATGAGACTCCACCTCAAAAAAAAAAAGAAAAGAAAAGAAAGAAAGCTATCCTATGCCTGGTTATTTGGTGACTTGAGGCCTGGGCTCCGTGTGCAGGCCTACTGATTGACTCTGAGGATGCTGGGGAAAACAGATCGGCCCTTGGTGGGTCCTGTGCCCACTTCACGAGGCCTGTCCCTTACAGGTGCAGACACCAGAAGTGAGATTTCAGCAGCAGCTGGAGCAGCTCAACTCCATGGGCTTCATCAATCGCGAGGCCAACCTACAGGCTCTGATCGCCACAGGAGGGGACATCAACGCAGCTATCGAGAGACTTCTGGGCTCCCAACTCTCCTAAGTCCACAGCCCACACCGCCTGCCTCTCCCTCCCTCCATGTCAGCATTTGGTTTCTTTGTCAGCCCTTGCCCTCTGCAGCTTGTCATCCCTTCTGTCTTCTCCCTTGTCCTCTCCGGAAAGCAGGATGACTTTTGAGGCTGGGCCCCCCCCAGCTCTGTCTGAGAACTATGGATTTGCTGCTGCATCTCTAACAGAGTCTTCTCTCCTTGTCCTCCTTGAGCAGGGCTATTTACACAATTTTCACAGTCTGTTGATTGACCCTACCTCCTTGCCCCATAGCACCGTTTGCAATCTTCAGACGACTCCGTGGCAGTGCCGAGTGGAAGGAGGCCCCAACCGCCTGGTTTACTGGAACAGTCTTCCATCTGCAGCCCTAGGGTTTTCCTTGTCTTATGTTTACTTCTGGTAACTCTCCTTCCTTCGTCTTCTCTCCACCCCCACCCCCAACCCAACCAATGCTAGAATTTCACACTCGGAAGGAGGGGCAGGTGAAACAGGCTGTGATTTCCCTTCTTAACCTTTATTCTGGTCACTTCATCCAGAACTTTCTCACAGGCTCTGTTGGGATTTCCAGGGCAAGGGGAAGATGCCTGTTCTCCCTGTCTGAAGAGGAAGATAAGATACAGCCCCCTGGACAGGAATTAACAACAGCTGGTGTGAAAGAGGAGGGAATGGGGGAGATAGCCTGAGTGAAGGACCTGGAAGCTGGAACTGACTGCTGGGGAGTGGAAGCAGAAAGGAGAGTCTAGGCCCAGGCCTGACAGGAGGTGCAGATGGAATTTGAATTGAAGGAGCTCAATTAAACTAAGCGCTGTGACCCACAAGGGATCATATTGGCTTCATTTCTGCAAACACACAAGCCTATCCATACACACACACATTTCCCTGAAGCCCTTCAAAAGATAGGAAGCGGGTTGAGGACTGTCCCAGCAGTGAAGAAGTGTGCCTGTGTGTGTGCACATGGGCATGCACACATGAGTTGGATGGGGAATGGGTTCTGTTAGTTTCTGGTTTGACTTTCTCTCCTGCCAGAGACAAGGAGGAAAAAGGGCCAGTCCAGGGCAGGAGTACATATCCAGGACAGCTAAGTTCCTTGGGACTGTGGGTGCTGGGTAACCCAAAGGCAGTGTAGACACCCTGTCTGAAGCTGTGAGGGCAGTGACAAGCACTCCTATCACCCCTTGCTGTTTTGGGAGGCTGGTAAAGGGCTTTTCAGTTCTTCATGGTTTCCCTCAGGCCAGAAAGTTCTATTTGAGGAAGGAGAGGAGAGGGTGGCAATGATGTCTTTGATCTAGAATTGGACATTGCTCTGTTGGAGCACAGAGAAGGCTCATGTCACCTCTTCCCTCTGCTGCTTGAACCAGCTGCTGGGAGGACCCAAGCCTGAGAATATAGAGGCGAGAGGAACAGATTTTGTCCAGCCGGGAAAGGGTCCCAAGCAGTCAGAGAGGATATCTTTCCCTCCCTACCTCCCCCAACTCCCACATTGGCCTTTGTAAATAAATGGTGTGGTCTTTGTTGTGAGTGTGTGTTGCTATTTCTTTTCTGAGGAAGGAGAGGCCCGCTGAAGACACCCTCTTGGCTTTACGGGGCACAAAGTGAGACCTAGAGGAATTTGAAGTTTGGTTCAGTTATCACAAGTGTTAGGAAACCTTGAAGGTTAAGAGACAACTGATCATGGGAGTTTAGGAATGGGGAGGATTGCATTAATTGGTTCCCCATCCTTAGACCATAAGATGTCTGAGCTTCCCCCACCCATAGGTCATGTGTAGAAGACGAATATATGAAGTGATGGGAAAATGGCTAGGTTATTAACCTCCATCTTCTGATCTTGAGGCGAGACTGCCCTCTCCTTACCTCAGGTTAAAAAAAAAAATGTGGAGCCGGGCTCAGTGGCTCAGCCTGTAATCCCATGCTTTGGGAGGCTGAGGTGAGTGAATTGCCTGAGCCCATGGGTTTGGGACCCACCTGGGCAACTTGGTGAGACCTCATCTCTACAATAAATCAAAAATTAGCTGGGCGTGGTAGTGCACGCCTATAGTTCCAGCTACTTGGAAGGCTGAGGTGGAAGGATCGCTGGAGCCCAGCAGGTTGAGGCTGCGGTGGCCGTAAGCGGCCACTGCACTCCAGTCTGGGCGACAGAGACTCAAACAAAACAAAAAAAAAAAAATGGGCTGGGCTCAGTGGCTCGACCTGTAATCCTAGCACTTTGGGAGGCCAAGGTGAGTGGATTGCCCAAGCCCGTGGATTTGAGAACAGCCCGGGTAACTTGGCGAGACCTCGTCTATACAATAAATCAAAAATTAGCTGGGTGTGGTAGCATGCACCTGTAGTTCCAGCTACTTGGAAGGTTGAGGCGGAAAGATCGCTGGAGCCCAGCAGATCGAGGCTGCGGTGGCCAGGAGTATGCCATGCACTCCAGTCTGGGCAACAGTGAGACTCCAACTCAAAAAAAAAATAAATTAGCCGGATGTGGTAGCAGGTGCCTGTAGTTCTGGCTACTCGGAAGGCTGAGGCAGAAGGATCACCGGAGTCCAGGTCGACACTGGGGTGACCGTGAGAGTGCCACTGCACTCCAACCTGGGCAACAGAATGAGACTCGCAACTCAAGAAAAAAGGAACAAGCTAGGCACAGTGGTTCATGCCTATAATCCCAGCATTTAGGAAGGCCTAGGTGAGAGGGTTGCCTGCGCCCAGGGGTTTGAGACCAGATCGGGTAGCTTGGTGAGACCTTGTCTCTACAATAAATCAAGAAACTAGCCGGGTGTGGGGGCGCACACCTATAGTTTGGCTACTTGGAGAGCTGAGGTGGAAGGATCGCTGGAATCCAGCAGGTCAAAGCTGGGGTGGCTGTGAGCATGTCACTGCACTCCAGCCTGGGCAACAGAGTGAGACTCTGATCCCCCTCCCCAACCAAAAAAAAGAACTTTGTTAAGTTCACATGATTAGTGGTACAGTCAGGTTTAGCCTTAGACCTCAAGATTAATAACTACTGGCTGGGTGCAGTGGCTCAGCCTTGTAATCCCAGCACTTTGGAAGGCCGAGGCGAGTGGATTGCCTGAGCCCGCAGATTCGAGACCAGCCCAGGCAACTTGGCAAGACCTGTCTCTACAATAAAAACAAAACAAAAAATTAGCTGGGCGTGGTAGCGCACACCTGCAGTTCCAATTACTTGGAAGGCTGAGGCGGAAGGATCTCTGGAGCCCAGCAGGTTGAAGCTGGGGTGGCTGTGAGTGTGCCACTGCACTCCAGCCTGGGCAGCAGAGTGAGACCCCAACTTATAGAAAATAAAGTAAAAGAGAAAGAAGATTCACCTCCCCAAGGTAGGGAAGGGGGCCAAAGCCAGGAAGCATAGCGACAGCCATAGCTCAAAGAACACATGGCTACTCCAGAGTCTAGTAAGGCAATGACCTCACTAGAAATTTTAAAGCCTGGCTGAGGTGGGAGGACTACTTGAGATCAGGAGTTTGAAAATAGCCTGCAAAAGATTCTATCTCTACAAAAAAATTATTTCTAAAAATTAGGTGGGTTGGCCAGGCACGGTGGTTCACGCCTGTAATCCCAGTACTTTGGGAGGAGAAGGTGAGAGGATTGCCTGAGCCCACAGGCTCAAGACCAGCCTGGGCAACTTGGTGAGACCCCTGTCTCAACAATAAATCAAAAACTTAGCTGGGCTTGGTGGCATGCACCCGTGATTCCAGCTACTTGGAAGGCTAAGGCAAAAGGATCACCTGAACCCAGCAAGTCAAGGCTGCAGTGGTCATGAGCGTGCTACTGCACTCCAGCCTGGGCAACAGAATGAGACTCTGACTTGAAAAAGTATTTTATTTTATTTTTTTGAGTTGGAGTCTCACTCTGTCACTTAGGCTGGAATGCAATGGCACGCTCACGACCACCCCAACATTGACCTGCTGAGCTCTGGCAATCCATCCACCTCAGCCTTCCAAGTAGCCAGAACTACAGGTACGCACTACCATGCCTGGCTTTTTTTTT